CGCCCAGAGGATCGTGGCCAAGTCCTCGACCAAGCAGTACGGGATCCTGAGCGTGGTGTTCCAGCTGTACGCGAGGCCGCAGGTTCTCTTCCAGATCCCCCCGACCGTGTTCTACCCCCAGCCCAGCGTTACCTCGGCGCTGATCAGCCTCGACTTTACGGGTGAGGAAGGAGGGGAGTGGAAGGTGGTGTGTGTGTTTGTGTGTGTGTGTGTGTTTTTTTATTATTATGAGCATCGACCGCACTAACCGGTTGACCAATGAAATCACGCCAGTCTCAGTGCGGTTGAAAAACACAAGAATGCTTCTAAAGGCTTGCCATGGGACCCAGTGAGGGGGGCTTGTGTGTATGTGTGCGTGTGCTTGTGTGCGGGAGAGAGCGACACATTGCCCCATGCCCCACCCAGCCTTGGACTCCAAGCACGACCATCTGTCTGCACGCGAGAACTCGTGTCACCATCAACAACACCAATGCCGCCAACACCACCACTGCTGCTGTCTCTCTGCTCTACACATTTTCTCACGAACGACGTCACCTATATCACGGCGTACAGTTTCCTCGCCAACAAATACGTCACCACGCCTGCCTCCCCATACACGCCGCGCCGTTTCTTGGTTTTCAGGCAAGGGACCCGGGGTTAATCAGGCGTGCCTCAAGAGCGTGCTGTCGTCCGCGTTCCAGCAGCGGCGCAAGATGCTGCGGCAGAGCCTAAAGCCCCTGCTGAGGGCAGGACAAAAGCTGCCGGAGGAGTTCGCCACGAGGAGGCCAGAGCAGGTGATCGTAGGGCGCGAAGCTCTTTCGTTTTTATGAAGAATGTGTAAATTTATTAGATGCACACTTGTTTGAGACCAAGCAAACCACCGTTTTGCTCGAAGGTGGGGATAAAAGTATTTTTTCGAGGCCTACATGCGTACCACCCCTTTTGACATTTTTTTTGCCTGTGTGTGTTGTATTTTTTTTTGTTTTTTTTTGCGTCTGCATAGTGTCCCTCGACAGACACGTGTTCTGTTCCCCGCGCCCGCTCATTGCCGTCGATGCCCGTTTTTTTCTAACAACCGCCATCGTCGTCGTTCCTTTCCCGTCGCGAAAACAGCTGGAACCTCAGGAGTTTGTCGAGCTCACGAGGGCCGTTTTCGGCGACAGCGCCGAGCTCCCCCAGGGAACCAAGGCGTGGAGAGGCATGCGCGGTAGCGGAGTAGGCGGGGGGGGTGGGGCGGCAGGGGGGGGGGGCCCCAACCTGCCAAGGCAAGGAAGGGAAGGGGGGCCCCGGG